TTGTAGCCAGGGCCAAGAGTAGTGGTCTGATCTATGAGCCTTTATTTATAATGGGACAGGCAACCAGGGCAAAATGTCTTTGAAGTGGCAAGGGCGACCAGTTGTAGGTCAAAATCTGGCTCTTATAACCAGAGAATCTAGTAGGAGACCAGTGGGTCTCTTACTCTGGCTATGAATCTTGGAACCCTTAGTTTATGATAAAAATGCCATTAGACCCTCGTCTTGTGTAACCAGCTGTTGACAGATTCTCCCAGGTCAAAGTGCTACTGACGGGGGCGCATGCGGGCAGCGGTACAAGATGGCTGCTCCTTGATACCGCTCTGCACTTCTTGAGCCGTGAGACACCCATTTCTGCTATCGTTTAGCCAGCTGGGTCGGTTCCCCGGGCGGATCGAACACCTACTCACCCCCGGCATCCAGATGAGGTCCTCGCAGTCCAAATACAAACGAGGCAAACAACCTCCTGAGACCCCTCGTACGCGCCGCGCTCTGGGCAAGATGGCGCCCGGCGGCCTACATGATGACGCCGCCGCTCCTCGCCAGTCGGCTGACTCCGAGGACAGCCAAGACCCGTTTGCTGAACACCTATCGGGATCCCGAGGATCACATGCCCCTGACCTCTTCGTGCGGATGCGGGACATGGTACGGGAAGAACTTTCCAAGGCCTCCGCAACCATAACCTCGGAGCTCCGGCGGGAAATTAGAGAAATCGGACACCGTACAGCTTCCTTGGAATCGCGTATGGATGATGTGACCACCATACTGGAAGGCCACGAAAAAGACCTGGAGACCGCCCAGACGGAACTTTCCCTTCGCCGTGACCAGCTGGAGGATCATGAGAACCGGGCCCGGTGCAGTAACATCCGTGTCAGGGGCCTCCCTGAATCCATTGAAGATCTCGTGGGCTCGGTCACCGCGCTGTTTCAGGAATTGGCCCCTGACCTTTCTGCGGACCAGTTGGAGATGGATCGCGTTCACAGGGCGCTCGGACCCCAGAGGTCGGATGGACCGCCACAGGATGTGGTGGTTAAGCTACATTACTTCCGCACGAAGGAGCGACTCTTGCAGGCCGCAAGACAGGTACCGGCCTTGTCCTTCCAGGGTCACCCCTATAGTTTGTATTCGGACCTGGCCCCTTCAACCATCTTGAAACGCAGAGTCCTGCGGCCCTACCTGCAGGTTCTCCGGGATGCGGGCATCAATTATAGATGGGGGTTTCCCTTCCGTCTCCTCTTTACATACCAGGGGAAATCCTTCCAGCTCCGGTCTCCTGAAGACGTGCGTTCTTGCCTCCGAGAGATTGGCCTCCAGATTCCAGCGGAGCCCCCTTCCTCTTCCCCAGGCTCGCAGCCTCGTCAACGGAATGGCCAGGCTTCCCAACGATCCCATTCATCACAGGGCCCACACGATCCTGGCCGCTCACCACGGAGATCCCAGGTCCTGCAACGTTTAGGCTCCCAAGTTTTTCGCAGCAAGCCCAACGGATGATTTACCTCCCTGGTCCGCACACCGCGGCCTTGTATTCAGCCCTTGCTGTTTCAGCCGTTTTGCCGTGTATGTCCAGACTCCCCGACGACCCTTTCCCAGGCAGGTACTGCTCCGTGCCCCCTAGGGTGGCTGCATCTGGCTTACATGAGCATATGCCGACTGTTGGATGCTCTCTTATTTTTATTTTTGCTTCTTGCATCACATGTGACCCCGGAGTCCGGGTGTGTTGTTTTGTTTTCTGTTTTTTTCGTTTTGCCACTTGCTTCAGGACTTCCCGGAATGCCACTTGGAGCCCCATACCCCGACAGATGTTTTCTCTCTGATTTGGGTCTCGTTTTGATTTGCTTCGGATTGACAGAACTGGCCGATAGAAGCTCCTAATGACTGCTCAACTGGACTCCCTCAACCCTCCTATGGTGGATTTCTCTCACTTTTATTTTTTCTTATTTTTCCTCCACTGTTTTAGTTGGCTAGATGCAATGATCTTTCATGTACCTAAGGGAGCAGGGATCTGCCCGGTGTCCACTTTGGGAGGGCACCAGTGCTTCCGCATTCCCCATCCCGTGTTTAGAGACGAGCTGGTGTCCTTGTTGCTGAGCTCCTTCAACTGACATCATTACCAGGGTATATCCTTATTATTATCTTTATTTTTTTGTCTAAAATTTAGTTGACACATTTAAATTTTTGTCATTTCCCTCCTAATACAATGCGGACGCACTGAGCTCTCCTGTTACACACCCTCGTTCTTTCTTTTTGCATATATGCATATGGTTATTTTTGTATTGTATTGCTCCGTCCTATTGGAGTAGTGCATTCCCGTTACTCCCGGAGCTGTGTTGCTTCCTTACTATCTCATGGTTGGTCTGTTTCACTGTTGGATGGAGTTCATAGAAGGTGTTTATATCTCTGCTATTTGCGGGGTCAGATGGGGCTGCTGGCGGGCACCGTCCAGCCGTCCTCCCTTCCCACTTGCCCTCCCCCCCCTCCCTTTCCCTCTCCCCCCTCCTCCCCTCTTCTTCCTCCCTCCCCCCCTCCTCCTCTTTCCTTCCCTTACCCCTCTTTCCTCCCCTCCCCTCCTCTTACATCCCCTTCCCTCCTTTCCCCATACCAGGTATAGGTTGCTAATTAGGGTGATCTCTGGAGGGACAGAAGTTTTATGCCCACAGCAACAAGCCGGGTGCTATGTTGGCGAAACGCCTTCGTTGCTTTGAGCCAGTTAAACGCCCTATTTCCTTGCGCACGGCGGGCTCAGTTTTAACTAGCAATCCACAAGCGGTACTGCAGGAATTCCAGCACCACTTAGCCCACTTATATGCAAAACCACCCCCTTTTCCCTCGGCCGAGGCGGAGACATTTTTTCAAGATTGTCAGCTGCCGGCAATGACAGACTCGCATAAGGAGCTTTTGGCCTCTGATATCACTGAAGACGAAGTGCGCTTAGCTATTAAATCATTGAAATCTAACAAACGAGCTGGGCCAGATGGTTACTCCTCCCTTTTTTATAAAAAGTTTACAGACATTGTAGAACCCCCACCTGACCTCCCAATTTAATTATATTAAGCAGGGACATCCGTTTCCTCCTGAAGCCCTTAAAGCGAATATAGTCATGATACCTAAGCCTACAACGGACCCACATTCCTGGGCTAACTTTAGACCCATCTCGTTACTCAACACCGATGTGAAACTCCTGGCTAAAGTTTTGGCCTCTAGAATTAACACCTTCCTGGGGCACCTCATTCACAAAGACCAGGTGGGTTTTGTACCCAATAGACAGGCGGGAGACAGTGTGCGCTGCATTCTTAAACTCATACATCTGGCTCGTTCCCGGTCTATAGAAATGATGTTGCTCTCTCTGGACGTGCGCAAAGCTTTTAACACCTTATCATGGCAATATCTTTTCTTTGCCTTGCGCAAATGGGGTTTTGGTGAGGACTTTTTAGCTTGGATTTCGACCCTCTGCCTCCATTCGCTATGCGGGTTTCAGCTCGGCCACTTTCCCCATATTGCGGGAAACTAGGCAGGGATGCCCTTTATCCCCCATCTTTTTCATATTAGCTCTTGAACCGTTGGCGGCTGCCATTCGGAACAATGCTTCTATACGGGGACTGGAGCTGGCGGGTACCCCTCACAAAGTCTCGCTTTACGCAGATGATATCCTGTTAGCCTTGTCTTCCCCTCATATCTCCCTTCCCAATTTATTTCGTACGCTATCGGATTACTTTTCTTCTTCACTTGCCTAAGGGCCCTTCTAAAGTTTTGATGGAACTCATCCCGGATGCCACGGAATGATGGCAAAGATATGGTATGCTGCTTTATCACCCAATAGTGGGGTTATGGTGGCGTCCTGCAGCAGCAGCAGGTAGCTGGCAGCCCCGCTCCGGGCCTTAAGCAGGGGCTAGCCCACCCGAGGAGCCTATGCATAGGTTATCTTGGTTTTATTAGATTTCGCACGAGCTCATGAGTGGGAGGTCTTTGTTTTCCGCAGATGTCATATTATGTCCAGATTTATGGTGATGCATTGCACTAGCTATTATATGACTGTCATGCTGTAACCCATCAGTAAACCGTTCTAGTAATGTACCGTGATGTTTTTTCCCACATGCGCCTTTTGGCATTGTTTCCTTGTGGATGGAACGTATTTCTGTTTCTGTTTCTTTTCCTAAATAAAAAATACTTGTACAACAAAGTGCTACTGACTCAGAAAGTCCACCTGACAGTTTTCCACTTCAAGAATGTGAACTGCTGAGAAAGCGGTTACCTGGCATTACAATTAGTGGAAGATGTGTGGTTTGGACTTATTTCACTTTATGCCCCTTTCACATGAGAGGTCCGATCCGGCCTGCTTGTCAGTTTTTCAGCCGGATCTGATCGAATGCTCTACGCAAGTCTATGGGCAGCCTTGTGTAAACGGATGCTGGTTAGCCCCAGCTCCAGCTAGCTCCGGAAAAATAAACGGATCAGAGATCTGTTTCGACGGACCGGATCGTGCCGGACCGGGTGTAATCTGAAGTAAACAGACACATGCACGTTTACTTACGATTCCCCATAGACACACATGAGGTGCAGAAGTTTCAGTTGTGATGAAGGAAAAAAACAGTACAGACATGGATGTCACAGCGGTGACATCCGCTCCGTACTGCTGTGATCAGGTGAGGATCTGTTGACGGATCCTCTCCCGATCAGCCCGTGTGAAAGGGGCCTTAAAACACTAATCCAGCGGAGCTGCGGAGAGACATCCTATCTCCTCAGGAAACTAAGCTAAACTGAGCTTGGTTTGGGGTGTAGCTATTAGACTTCTGTGGCTGCTTGTAACCTTCTAAAAGCAGCAGCTATATTCCAATTGTAAAAGACTGACTGCGTCCCACAATGAGCGCTGGAAGAAAAAAAAAAGACTAAAATGCATTCCAAAGAAGTTACAAAATAAAGTAATACTAATGCATAACATAGTAAAAAGAGTACAAAACATCATCAAAGTGTTAAGACATCTCTTAGTCCTTGAGACTTTGTTTTACCTGAATATCTCTGGCACGTTCATATGACTGATAAGCAACTTTCTCTTCCATGCTGGCTAGCTCCTGTTTAAGCAGAGTCATCTCATTCTGATGGAGTTCAGTGAGATCATTAAGCTGCTCTTCCAAACGTTCATACCTGCAAATAGTAGTTTCTGATTAATGAACACTATGTGTTAAAGTATTACATTATTATAAAAAAAAAATAAGATACATGATAGAAGAAGTTTAAGACACTCCAGGAGAAGGTTGAACTACTACATATAGGGGTAACATCGGTATTTTGCATTCTAGCACTGCGGGAGACATAGCAGTAAAGTACTGTACAGTATACGGGTTTACCTTTACATTCTTTTTTTTTTTCTAAGGTTAATGCATTAAGCTGAAATTAAATTAATGTGTTTTGGGGGCAAATTTAGGGTTTAAACTATAAAAATAGGCATTTTTTTGACCACATTCAAAATGTGTGGTTTTTCACAATTCGCGGATGCTCTAGGAACGTAACCCCCGTGAGTTTCCAGGATCGACTGTACATGATATAATCAATTTCTACTGTACATTGCTCTGTTCTAATAGCCCTTTGGTAAACCCACTCTGCAAATAAACTACTCTCATTCTCCACCATTCACAGGTTAGAGGATAAAGGTTGTCTTTTTCAGCAATAATGAGCCAACATTTATTAACTGGATTCATACTGGCTCCATTAAATATTTAAAAGAGCAGAAGATGTGTAAATACAGCATTCCATAGCAACGAATCAAATCTTTGTTTATAATAGTCTTATTAGTAAAAGATAAAATACAACTAGTTGTTATGGTTTATGGCCTTTGTACATCATTGCTTTAAGTCACTACATTGGTAAATAAACTTACATGTATGCTTAACCCTTTCGCTGCCAAGGACGTACGGAGCTACAAAGGTGCTTCCAGCTGGCCAGCTCAGTATGCCGTACGGACCTGGCATTTACAGTTCTACTCCATGGATCCCCGCTGCTTGTAGGGTCTGTGGCAGCGGGGATCCGTACAAAAATCACCGGCGGGGGGTCCCGGGAATAAGGGCTTGGCAGCGAAAGGGTTACAGTAGGATTTTTTTTAACTCAATGTTTTTTTCTTCAGACTCACTGACGGACATGGTAGTGCAATAAAGACCTGTGGATATAAACTGTTACCTACAGGAGGCACTGACATTAGTGGAGAGCTCCACCTGGTGCCTATACCCCATCACTGCTATTGAACCTCAGTAGTTGTAAGCAGTAAAAATATTAGCATAAAAAAAAAACAAGAGGGGAGAGGGCTGAGTATCTATTTTCTTCATTGTTCATTAGGGGATGCAGTACTGCAATAAAGACCTTTGGGACGTCCATAAGCAGTATCTAACGCAGGGGAGGAGACGCAGCACCTAACAGAAAAAAATAAAAAACAATTGAAACCTTTGCCCCTATGACAATGGGTTATGTCACACAGCTAACTGCAAGACTTTGCAGTTGCAACTGGCATCCACCAGTGCAGCCACATCAAACTTGTAGAATCTGTAATGAATCTGTAATGGTGTGAACAGATAATCAAGTTGCCGCCTTAAAAAACCTGGGACACATAAGACTGATGAAGGATGATTACATGAGATACCACAAGGCCCTTATGGGGACTTTCTGGAATGATAAACAACAAATTTGACTTTTAAAAAGGAAGAAGTAACATACTTTGGATGATTTCCTCATTAAGGTTGGAAGAAAAAGCCACCTTCTGCAAGAAAAAGAGAGCCTATGCCTCAAAACCACCTTGTCCTTATGATGGATAAGAAAAGCAGCGGCTAGCTCTGAGACCTTCCTGCCCAAGGTAATGGCCACTAGAAAGACAACCTTTTGAAATACAGACAGCAAAGAAATATCCTAAATAGGTTCAAAATGGGGATTCTGTTACACTGAAAGAACAAAAATAAGATCCTATGGTTTAAGGAGAGGCTTAACAGAAGGAGCAATATAAGGTAACCCATGAACAAAAGAACGAGCATAGCCATGAGATCCACGTCAATTGTCCTCAACCTGATACAAATGTCCCAAAATGCCTCTTGGCTTACAGACCACTCTCCATAGTCCAGCCTTTGCCGACTGAGATAATCCACCAGCTGGTTGCCTATGCTGAAATTATACACTGCCTTGATAGCCGGACCTTTCTCTTCTGCCAGGGAGAGTGTAACCCATCACCTGTGATGTTGTTGGGCTTTTGGTTCTGCCTTGGTAACTGATATACACCGCAGTAATGGCATTCTTGGATTGCACCAGTATCGGGTGACATCTAATTTGCAGTAAATTGATGGGAAATCTGGCTTTCTCCTGGGACCAGCAACCCTGCATTGTCGGTGAGCTCAGGACCCCTCCCTATATGTGGACCCTCACATCTGTCGTAACTAACTTCCAGTGTACGGTGTGATAGTTTGGGGAATGTAGCACAATGGTAAGCGCTAAGTGACCACTCCTGAAGCCAACTTTAACATAAAAGGACAGTCTTTATTCAGCATAAATTAAGCATAACAGTTCATTCAGGAGCCTCATCAAGACATTGTGGTTGGTCTCACCGACATCTGTCTGTCCCATACACTCCCCGTATGATAGTCCCAGGACTTTACCGTATTTCTCTGTGAATACAGTCCTCAGCACTGCTCAGCAGCTTTCCTCAGCTCCAAGCGGTTCAGTATCCACCCCTAGTGGGTCACTGTCCCTCTCTGTCTCCCCGACAGGTATCTCAGAGTCACGGACCCTCTGGACCTCTCTAGCCTTCCTGGCTGTGTCCCTTGTGCTCACGCACGCACGCAGCAGAGTCTGCCTGTCGTTGTGTGCCTCTTGCACACCCACAACTCTCCTCTAAAGCACTGGGCTGGCTTCCTAATAAGGCTGCTCTCAGCCACCTGATCAGCTCAACCTGGCCACTGGCAACACCTGGCCCCAGGACTGGAGATCCCATCCCACTATAGTCTGGAAAACCTGGAAGGGATTGAACAGCCAGTTCCTCCTCTCCAAAGGTATTCACGTTGTGGAACCTCTCAGGCCCTCTGGCTGAGAGTCCTGGGCGCCAAAGTTGCCATACTACACCGTGGCATAGCCACGCACTGCCACATATCCCCCCCCCTTTGTTCGCATCCGGAGGAGCGGACACACAGACGAAAACCGCCTGACCATCTGACACCTTTCAAAAACGTTTCCCTTTCGTCTCTGGTCTTGCCAAACAGTTCGTCATCCATAAAGGGGAATCCCAACTCCACTACACTATTGGAGGTACCAAGTTGACCCAGTACAGTCTTTTTACGTGTGCGTTTCCACCCGTAACCCTGTACCGTCATCGGGCACTCATCCTTCCTTCTTTCTACCCAGTCTCTATCGGTCTCTGCCAAGACCGTCAAAGTCACCCAGGTACTAGTCTCTCTACTGTCACCACTATGGGGATTGTCACTACCCAACTCCTGGCAGTCCGTTGCTACGCTAACCCCCTCAATCTCTTTGGGGTCCCTAGCGGTCTTCCCAATGACCCATTCAGTCAGCTCACACCATGCAAGACTCAAGTCATTGTCAGTAGGGAATTTTCTAAACACCACTCCCTCTTTACTGACCCATTCAGTTTCGGTGTTGTTGCTCCCAGCAACCAACCCCTCTTGCTTTATCACAGCGACACCTTTGTCAGTTTGTACATGAATCACATTCATCATTAATATTACACCCGCACCTTCTGGCGTTTCCACATCCTTTTTAACCCCCTCTTGGGTTACAGGTGACATTTCCGCTGGCCTTCTTTTCTGTCTCGGCCCTTCCGACTTTAAAGGGCAACCTGCCGCTGCAACACACGCCCCCTGGTCCACAAAGTGTTCAGCAGCCCCTTTGTCTAGGCCAGCAGATGTGTTCACCACTCCACAGTCTAACACAAAAACATCCCTTTCCAACAATAAGGCATTTTTGTGGTTATCCGTGGTAACCAAACCCTTACAATTTTTCATTTCATCATAGGTTTTACCCATCTCACCATTATCAATGTGACAGTCGGGCAACACAGTATCTGTAGAGGAATCACACCCCTAGGAGTGTTCCTCTTCCCCGGCAACTTCACGGTTCCCTGTTTCTACTGGCAACTGCGCCAACGGCTGTCGCTCCTTAGGGCCACCCAAATCATAATTTTTAACCCTGTCCTGGGTTTCGGACAAAACTTCTGCTGCATCCTTACTTTTACATGGCCCATCCAGCTGGTGAAATATAGCCGCTGCCACAGCATTCGCGCCCTCTTCTACCAGCTAATTAGCAACCGATCCTTCTGGCACAGCAGAAATATTGTGCGTCCCACAGTGGCGTAACCAGAGTAACAGGCGCCCGGGGCAGAACAAAATTTTGCATACAAGTGGGCCATGGTATTTTTTAATCACCTTTTTTGTTTTATTAAATCATTTTTTTCTTATTATTTTTCACTTATTTTTAATCATTTTTTTTCACTTAACTTTATCGCTATCACACAGGAGCTAACAAGCACCTGTGTGATAGCATTTGGAGGTGACAGGTTCTCTTTATTGAACCTGTCACCTCCAAGACAGAAGTTCTAGCGCAGAACTGTGCTGGAACTCCTGTGACAGGTGAGAGGGGAAGACTGCTCTCCCCTCTCACTGTGTACACGGTGCGGCATGGTTACCAGGGATCCCAACCTGAAAAAAGCAATTTCAGGGAGGTGCCCTTCTCATTTCAGGGAGGTGCCCTTTGCCCCCCCCCCCCTCATCTGCTGGGAGAAAGGGGGGAGGAGAGAGCGCACCCCCCTGAAATGATGGCAGATAGCAAAAAATCTATTGGTTCCTGTGCTATCTACAGGTTGTTTTTTTTGTATTCTGTCAGCTGCCACCATCAGAATAAAAAA